TTTTATGGATTTTTCTCTTTCTGTTTGTTTTTTGTGACTGTATGATTTTGGAGGCATCTTGTTTTTCTCATGGTATTGTTTGATTAATGTGTGTGTTTCTTTTGGGGGAAATCGGAATTGATTCAGATTACAAAGATGATGATATCCAAATTCCTAGCGGATCCAGCGTGATTGTTAAGCGAGTTCCGGCAGGGACTGTGCCATCGGTTATGTAAGTTTTCTTCTCTTATGATTTATTTGGTTTTTCTTTTCCTTTTTTTGCTCAGTATTATTAGTATTAATTCCTATGCTATGAGTGTGTATGCGCTAATGTTTGTGAAATTAAGCATTCAAATATTATTCCAGTAAATGGTGCTCTTTTGGAGAAGTGAGATTCAGATGTAAAGATGGATTCAAGAAAAATAAAGATTCGGCCTATAGTGTGTGAGATAATCAAAGTCCTGGCCGGAGGGTTTATAACTGTGTTGGATGTCTGCATTTTGAGGATATATATTAGGGTTAGGGAACTTTGTTATTATGTACATGTTATTGCTTGTAAAAATGATGGTTGGAATGCACTTGTTGGTCGTTGCAAAAAAGTAGATTTTCCTGCACCACAACATTAGTTTTTGATCAGTAGCATGCAAAAAGTATGATTAAAATTATATTTATTGGAGATGTTATGTTGCATGATTCCATAATTTAGTGGCTGATAGGAGAAAGTTCGTTATAATTAAATGCACACATCTTTTAGAAGTCAGCATTTATCCGTTAACTTGCATTAATTCCTATATTACTGGAATTACGTGCATCTGTTGGGTCAATTGTTAAAAATTGAAGTTTATTTCAGAAATCCAGCTAATAAATTAGTTTTGTCTTCAAACCGCTGTTTTGGATGATTTTATAAGTTGGAGAATTAGTAGAACAGTATTTTTTTTGCATACTCATTCGCTGTAGAATCTGTAAATGTAACGGCCACCTTAAGTTATTCATCTGTATTAAAAGTCTTTATCTGCCAGGATATGGTGTGTTCTCGGAATTCTTCTTCGAACTAGGTTTCCTTTTACAGCTCTTACCCTTGAGAATCACGTGGAGCTTCTGCATGGATATAATGAGAAATCTGTTTTTTCTTCTTTAATGATAGATGTACCGGTATCATTTTTTATTGTAATTGTAACAATTGACCTTCTCCTTTTTCTATTTTCCTTTTCATAAAATTTATTAGTATGGAGTATGTTTAAGATATAAACTCATGCAATTCCCCTGATGTAATGCCTTCTTTACAGGGTACCTATCGAAACCGTGGAGGTTTTGGGAAAAAAAGACTACTGCCAAATGAATCCAGCTGTAAGCACGTGTTTTTATTTTTCTTCATCATCTATACTTCGTTTTGTCTTACTTTCACCTTTTAGAGTTTAGATCGTTTCTTAATATAAGGCCTTGTTTGATTTTCATTTTTTTTGAAATACATTTTTCTCTTCTACTACACATTATTCAATAAAATAATGTTATACGCAAACCCAAACTTTTTCTTAATTTTTAACCACACATTCTCCATATATACTTTTTGGAGGAAAAAAGGGCATCAAACGGCTCTAAATAAATAAATGCACACTTCACATGAAGAATGTCTTGATAGATTATCATCATGGTGGACCTGTTATACCTTTCTCATCTTTTTCCCTGTATGTCTCTACCCTCATCTTCTGGAGCAGGCTTCTTTCTCATCTTGGATACTACTCTCTCTGGTACCATTTTCCTCTGAAATTAAAATTTTACTGACCAGGAAGCAGGGACATGCCTCTGGCGTCATCGTGTCGGTGTCTGACACACGTACTTGATACCAACAAGTCGCCAAAACGTGTCCGACGCACCAGGTGGCGTGTCCCTTTTTTTCTTTGGTTTTATGAAGTTCGATACATTGGGAACATGCTGGGACAGTCACCGACACACTGTGCATTACTTGATAATCTGAAAAAAATAAATAGAAGGAAGAAAATTTCGAGCAATTTATCTCTCCATCCATATTGCAAGGTGCCGTATTCAAGGAGATGATGGAGGGTTGAAGAGGTAAGGCGCGTGTTTGGAAGAGGGTGGCGCCGTGGGTGTTCATGGGCAGTGTGGATGGAATTTGGTCATGTGTGGCTGTGGCTATGCAAAAATGAAATGGGAAACCATCCAGATATTACAAGGCTTTGTATTATTAACTGGCAAAAATCATTTAAAAAAAAAAAAATAAATTGCAGAAGCAGTTCGGACTGCACTATTTTTTGGTCTTTACTTTAATTGCAAAATGACACAGGCAATTTAACCCTAATGCATGACCCATTTGATTTTATCTTTTGTTACAAAATGACAAACAGGATTTTAAAGACAAAATATATAAAATGTCCTATACTATATATATATATATATATATATATATTGAGGAATATGAAGATACATGTTTAGATTTTATAGAAATTGAAAAAATTTATGATTTGTTAGTAACAGAACAAGATATAGTGTGGATGAATTTTACGATTTCGGTGCTGATTTGTGTGCTAGACCCGATGCAAACTTTCCTGACTTTGATCTAGAATTTGATAAGAATATCTTCGGGAGCAGCGAGAAGGAAGATATTATTGGTTTAAGGTATAATGCATATGGCCTTTTGTCTGTACACTCTACACAAACTTCGTACTCAAATTGTGTTTATATATCAACTCTGGGTTTTTTGGTTTCCACACGATGTTGACAATCTGGCAATCACTTATAACTGATGTGATAGATCTGTTTGATTGACATGATTATCCATTTATGTGATTTTCAACTTGATATATTGGACCTTTTCTCATAAATTTAATTTATTTCTTTTACGATAGACCAGTTTGATTGACATGATTTTCTATTTTTGTGAGGCAGCAACTAGAAGAACTTCTACTACCATAATAAATTGTTGTTTTTAATTGCAACACATTTCCTTCTGTTCAATCTGGCCATATTTTTTTCCCTTGAAAATTACAAATTTGTTTCTACGTTGAAGTTCAACAAACAGATCCTTCTTGGGTTATTATCATATTTTCTCTAGCATGTATTTGATTACAATTCCCATTTTTCTTACGGGGGAGGGGCGTTGTGGCAATTTTTATTCGTTTTTGCATAAATGAACTTTCATGAGTGAAATATCATATTCGGTATTTGTTATAGATGCCCTGTGCTATTCAGGTTAGGATGTAGAAAGCTTGAATCAACTGATATTAGTCAAGCACTCCCGAGAGGTTTGTTGTATTTTGTTTTTATTTTTTTCGAATATTTTCCATGAGTTTAAACTTGATACATGTGTATCTTAGGTTCCAATCAGAATACAAATGAGATAAAAATCTTGCTGGAACCAAAAGTTGAAGAACAGATGAAATTGACCAAGTATGACTTGTGACTTTTCGTTTGGTTTACTGTTTATATAGAGATCATTCTTGCAAAACTGATATATCTTTTTCTTTTCTGGGGGCCAAGGCTGCCTACCACCAATTGTGTAGCCTTGCAAAACACCAATTTGCCATTAGAAATGAAGTGCTCACTCTGCAACACTTTTTTCAAGGACGCTGTGATGATACCTTGTTGCCAGCATAGCTTTTGTGAGAAATGTGAGTTACTAGGCTTTTTGACCTGTGTTGATGTCCTATAGCTGTGCATACACTACTTATATTATAGTTTAAACTATGAAGAAATTGGCGCAAGTTCAAAAAAAATATGAGATGTTTTCACATCTTCCGTCTTTGTACAAACATTAATGCTCATATTCTATCTTCGTACTATCTTTATCAGAGTTACAACTAGTATCTGCGTAAAATTTTTATATTATTTGTGGCTATGGTGGCAGGTATACGTCTAGCGCTTATTGAAAAGGGAAGATGCCCAAAATGCTTTTCCAGCAAATGCAAGGTTGAAAATCTGCTGCCAAATTTATCACTTCGTCATGCAATTGAGCATTGCCTTGAATCTCAGATGCTAGATGTTGGTTTAGAGAATGCTATGCAGGAATATGCTCCAGGTGGAAATTCCATTTTTTTAATTATTTAATTATTTATTTTTTTAAATTCTGAAAAATATTGATACACGTTAGAGAGAAATTAAATCAGCATGGTACATCACCCTTTTTTCTTTTAATGTCAGATGGAGAATCTGGAATCCAAGTTAAAAAAGATGGTTCTTGTGCTTTAACTGTGGTTCAAACAAAAGTAGAGTTGCCTCAGTCTTCTTCTGCAACTGGGATAGGATCCAATCAACTATTTATGGAATCATACCATGAGCCAGTACTTCGGAGAAGTACACCAGATAGGCTCTCTGATAATCATGTCAGTATAGTAGGTGGCAATGGAGATCCGAAATCTGCTCTTTTATCACAGAAAGCCAAACAGATAGATGCAATAAGAGTTGGATATTCTCATCATGCTAATACACAAGAAAGATTTGAAGGTTTTGCACCTCCATCGGATTTTCAGGGTGAAAATCAACCTTCTGATATTCCTCAAGTTCACATACATGATGAAGGTAAGTGCAGTTCTATAATCTTCTAGCTCTATAGAATTTATCATGTTATGGAACTGCTTCAGATGCTAAATCATGCTACATTTTTAATTGAATCTTCTGTTTTGCTTATGGAGTGGGAGTCTTTATTTTAGTAGACAGAACAGTCTATCAACATATTTGTTTCAAAAATATCTGATATTATAATACACATGATGTTATTCAATCTTGGAATCCTGTTGGATAACATCATGTATACAAGTGATGAAGGGAGGGGACTAAATTGATTATGTTGTGGTTAATAAGTGAAATGGTGTTAAGAGAAATATGAGAAAATAAGTTCAGCGGATTGTCTGAAGCAACTGACTAAGTTGGTATGAGTAAGAGATGCATGAAGGCTTAAAATTCTGAATTTAACTAAAAGAATTTTTGCTTCTGTTACTTTTCCAGAAACTGATTTTTCATTTTTCCTTAAGTTTTTATTATATCACCATCTTCTTGACATGTGTTCTAAATTTACATTCCTTACTGCAGCTGATTCTGACGTTAAGAAAAGAGGGGGAGTCTGGAGTGAAACTGGAGGTGCAATCAACTGCTTTAATGGCTATTTTCTTAATGGTGGAATAAAAATAACTGTTTATTATGTATTCTGCTGATTGAAATATGGTATTAATTTTTAGGTGGAGACAGAAATTTTTTAGCTCATGGTGGTTACAAAAAGGTAACTTACGAGGCTTTATCAAGTTATGCAGATTCTTGGATACATTAGATAAGATTTTTAAAGTGTGAACCTAGACCGAATTTGCTGGTATTATAACTTATGCATGTTCAATAGCACGAATTAAACGTCCATGTATCACCCAAATACCCAATCCAGGATTGTATTGGCCAACTGAAGATGAAGTGTTCCTACATTATCCTAAACTTTATTTTCTCATCCCCCTTCATTCACCTGCCCTTGGTAGTTTATGGAGCATTCTAGCAGTTGTGATTTACTGAACTACTGTGATTAGCAAATCTGGCCGGAACAAATTGTGTCTTGCATGCTGCAGGTCTTTATGTAGGCATGATTTTGGTTTTTAAGTTTTCTCAAAATTGTGACTGTTGAAATTTAGGCGGGACGCAATTGTTACACATGTGGTTCTCCAGATCATCTCATGAGAGACTGCCCTCTTGCTTTCAATCTACATCTCTTTCAGCCAGGTACAAATAAATCTTTTCCACTCGACTCCTATTTACAACATGAAATGTTCATATTTTTAATTACTGCTGTTATATTAGGAAATGGAGCATTTCATGGAGGTGTGCCGGGCTATCCACCGCCCTATTGGAATGGTTCTATGTTGCCCTTCAGGCCTTATGCAAATATGTATGGTAACCCTTCAGTGATGCCTTTCAATGTCTCCATGGTTCCGGTGACACCTTTTGCGGTTCCTTCATACATTCCTTCCATGGGTGTTGGCTTACATGGCCCTGGGTAAGTTCGATGTATTTTCATGCGGTACACTTGTCTTTTTCTCATAATTACTGTAATGCAGGTTTTTGAGACTAAGTGATATCTTGTAGGGGAAATATGGGAATCGAAGGTATGGGTCCTGTGGGAAATAGAGTTGAGAGGTCTCCATACTCCAACTTGGAGCTTCAGCATTTTGAACCCAGAAAGAAGCATTCGAATGAAGACCTGGGAAGGTAATTTTGATGATTTAACACAGCAGTAGGTTTAAAAGACAGGAATAGTTTTTCTCGCTGTACATGCACACAAAAACTAAGGAAAAAACAGCGTGTGAAAAGTGTCAAAGGAGAAAAGAGAAATCATGGAAAATGTCACTCTGATGGATTAACTTAAAGATCATTTAGTAGTTGACAATAGATATTCATATTTTGATTACATTGCCTCTGTCAAAAGTCTGCTATTTGCTTCATGGTAGCATCGGTAATTTGCTTTTCTGTAAGTAGTTGACTTGTGCAATGTGCACATCACAAGTACACAAGAGAATTTCACTGACGCTCTATTCGTAATCTTGAGAATTTCACTGACGCTATCCTTTTGACTTCTGATTGGTGAACATTTTGAACTTTGGGTTATGCTACATGTACATTATGGTATCCATAAAGGTGTCCAAAATGTACATGTAGCATAACATCATTGGAGGTTGAAAATCAATTTTTTTAACCCTCCAATCATGGAATTCCACATGTACATTATGGACACCCTTATGGATACCATAATATACATGTAGAATTATCCTTGAACTTTAGGCACATACCTCTCACATAGTTTCACTCTGTTTCCTAGTCCTTTCTAATATTATATTCGTTGGTCTTCTGTGAAGGATGCCTGTGCGCACATTTTGAAGGAGGTGGGGATTGAAGCTGTGAAATCTCCTGCACTCATAAAAATTCATATGGGCGCTTGGGGTTATCTAGCTCAATTCTAACCTCAATTTTTATTTTTTGTTTTGATATTTCGAAGATTTTCTTATATTCTTTTGTCTGATATTGAGGTTTATATGTCTGGTAATCGATTTCATCACTAACTATAAAAAAGCACTACTCTTGAAAAATCAAGCAATTGCAATTGCAATTGCAAGCCCCAAGTTGCTGCTTCATTCCTTTCTATTTTAAGATTGTTCTTGTGTACTGCTTGTTATTGATAACCAGGAAGTCATGGTTCACGAATTCTTTTTACTGAACAAGCACTCCCATATACTCGTGTTCAATCTGCCTGCTCCTCTTCCCCTCTATGGCCTTTACCGTTGCCCTTTTCTTTCCTTTGTTTGTAATGTTATAGTGTTATTGCAAATTGCTAATAAAGGTTTTGTGTACCAGAGAAAAACTTCGTGATGAAGAAGATTCTCATGATTGCTGTAGGGATAATAAGCCAGATAAATCACATCAATATAAATCGCAGAAAGAGAAGGAACATAGTTTGAATCAATCTGAGGACAGCTTTACTCGAAGATCAAAGAGGAAAAATCAGCATGACGAATATATGGATTCTGACATTCTCTACTTCGATGAAAGACTTGAGAAAAAATCGCGCTCTTCCCATGCTTCAAGAGACAAGAAGCTGCATCACTCAGAGAGGTCAAGTTCAGGAATTGAGGATATGTCCAGAAGTTCTGAAAAGTATAGTGAAAGAAGGCGGAAGGATCATCATGGAGAGTTGAAGCATCACAAGAGGTTAGAGTGTGACAGTGATTCAAGTTTGGGTCGTTATCCACTAAAGAAAGATGTTATAAGAAGAGATGCGATTGATGCCAAAGGCTTATGTATTGATCAGAGGAGGGAATGTAAAGAGAGGGATTCGGGCCATGACTCAAGACATTCCTTTACAAAACACTCAAGACATGAACAACATGATGACAAGTGGCATATGATCAGTGGCACCAATGACTCCAAAGATGAATATCGTCACCGCAAGCGGAAAAGAGTATTAAAACCGGCATGACTTCTGAGGTAACATGCATATGATACTTGCATCTTGTGGACTTTGGTGATCCATATGCCATCCTCAATAGGTATTTCGTATTGACTTGTTTTTGTTGCAGCTGTAGTTTAACAGGGTAAATAGCTTTTTATACTAAAAGGTCCATCAACTTATTTCAATATATTTAGGTACTAGTATCTAACTCACAACCTCTGCTGGTTTTATTGGAGATAAATTAGATTGGTCCGGTTTGGACGGTCACATGGTATTATCCTTTATTTTTCTTAACTAACCTTCTTCCCTTCTTGTATGTGAGGTTTGGATGCTAGCAAAATTGAAATAGTGTTTGGCACCATTTTTGTGCCACTCAATCGTTCTTTGTGCTGAGGTGTTGAAGCTGATGAAGGTACGTTCTTTTAAAATCAGACAGAAAAAAAAAAATGCTCTATTACGGTACAGTTGGTACTGAATTGCAAATAATTCTAACCCTTTTTTCTTCGGGGAATTTGTTTTAAATCCCTACGCTTCATCTGTTCAGTCTAAAATCTATTTTTAACTAAATAAAATGAATAGGAGCAAAAGCACTAGTTAAGATATAAAAGCTATTAATAAACTAAGGTCAATTTATATTTCCAGCATAAAATGAAATTTTGATAATTTGCTTAGTACGAGTTTTGCAAAGCCAAGTTTCTTTTAAATTTTTTATCATTGACCTTCCTTTTCTTCTCATTATTTGGAAATTGGATTTGATTATTTACGTTGTATTGCATTTTTAGTGAGACTACGACATTTGGTCTGTGACTTGCATCACCTTAATTATCCTTAAGTTTTAAGTGCATTATCCTACTTGACATATTGGTATTTCATGCAGTCATGCTTTGCTAATATTGTGTATTTTGTTGGCCCGTCTTGTTTATGCTTTTTTATTCTGAAACTCCCTTATTCGTCCGCACACATTCCATGCCCTTCCAGAAAAGGGTGTTTTTTCCAGTATATTATCACACATTCATTGCATTGGGTTGTGCTAGTTTTTGCGTTTCTGGCTGAAAGTTATATTATGTCACAAAAGGATGCAAAAGGGGACACGAACAATTTATGTTTGGCCAGCACGAGCTTTATACGGTTTCACGTTTCTTGGGTAGTTTAACCAACGCGTCAGGCATGAACTTTTTTATTTCTTGGGTAGTTCTAATTCGGTGTTTCTTGCAACATTGTGCAAATAGGAGGTTCTAACTATCGTCCTTTTTTAATTATTTTGTTCAAATATAAGATTTTCACAGTTAAAGAATGAGCACAAACACGAGTTTTGTGCTTGCTCACTTTTAGTTAATGAGCCACGGACAGCTCCAAGCCGTGCTCTTTTCATGGAAAGAAGCAAGGTGGGTTGAACCCGTGTTCAACTCCCTTTTCTATTTCTTTTTTCTTTCCTTCTTTCATTTTTTCCCTTTCCTTAATTACATAATAGGATGCAATCTTTTGTTCTTGTTTTTATTTACTTCTATTTATCATTCTTTTATTTATTTTTCCATTTGCCATAATTGCATAATATTTTCTCATCAGCAATAATCTTTATGCTTTGAGAAAAAGAAAAAGGTGAAACGCTCATTTTCTAACCAATTCTGTTGAGCAAAAAGTTATGACAATAATCTGAAGAAATGCTGATTGGTTGGAGGGCTGTAGATTAATAACATTCTATTTGCTTTTTGAATTATTTAATTAAGCCCTTGTTTGGTGATGAAGATTCTAATTTAAGTCAAAGTTTAACAATTAATTTTAACATCATAAATAACATTCTATTTGCTTTTTGAATTATTTAATTAAGCCCTTGTTTGGTGATGAAGATTATAATTTAAGTCAAAGTTTAACAATTAATTTTAACCACATATTTTATGAGACTTACAACTTTTTAATGATACTCTTTATCAACTTTTATCAAAATCTATTAAAAATCAGATTTTAATTCTCACCAAATAAGGGCTTATTATTCGAAATTTAAATTCCAACAGTACCCTTTCTCGTCTTCTTTGTTATCCCTCCCCAGCTCTAGTGTTTATTGCCTAGCCCAAACCACTTTGCCCATTTTTTATGGCCAAGGTCTGCGTTTGTTGCAATTCCCTCTTCTCCCCCATCTCTTTATTTTCAGAGACCTCGCTTCCCCTCATTTATTCCTTGCTGTATTTCTTGATATAGCTGACATTCCAGTACAATTAATCCAATTTTCTATATAAAAAGATTGAGTTAATTTATTGCTTGAGTAGTTAGCTGGTTTCCGACTTTTAAAAGGAGCAAGTAGATCTTTAACCTTTCGGTTAAATGCATTGCGGTCACGTAAATGCGAGTTCAATGAAAGTACATAATTATAGTTGTGCAATTTCAACTTTGGTTAGTGCTTAGAAATTTGAAATGAAGAATGATTTACTATGGTAATGTGATGGTATGGCGAAGATTTAGATATTCGACTTTCCATTGATCAAGAGGTGATTATGTTACTATCATGCAACTTGCTCTTTTATTAAAAGTTAGTGACCAATTCACTGTTCAGGCAATAAATTGGAGAACTAAAAGCTTTGTGCTGTCTACTCCTTTTCTCTCATGCAATTCTATGGCTGTAAAATTCCAATAAAGCTCCTTCGTTTCGGCTCCATACATGGAAGAACCCCGTTTGGCAATATTGAAAAATATAATGCTCAAGATGCGAGACACCATGGAAGAGTAGACATTGTAAACTTTCCATGCCTGCAGCCATTTCTCCTTGGTTGGGAGCTCCTGAATGAGGAGGAATGTTTACTTGGGACTCGAGGGCTCTTGACTAGACTTACGCTGGGAGGAGGATGTAAGGTTGGGCAGCGGTGGTTGTGGCTTGTGTAGATGGACTTGGTGGCGTGTGGTGGCTGAAGGTGGTTGGAACCGGTGGATTTTTGTGGCTGGGCTTGGTGGTGTCGTTGCTGAAGGTGGTGGGTGTTGGGGGGGTGGGGGTTGATATGGGTAGAAAGCCGAAGACAAGGTCGTGGATGAAGATGGCCCATTTGTAACGAGGGAAATTTGACATTGAGTTGAGAGAATTTCACCTTGACTACTGGGAAATTCAACCAGTACAAGTGAGATTCCATTTGCCCGAGTCAGAATTTATCTGAAATATACACAGAATTTCTACGAGCAAAAGGAATAAATAACAGAGAGATAAGAAAGATCATATCAGAATAATACTATTATATTTTTTTACTATTATCATTAAACTTGTGTAAATAACTTGGCAATTTATGTGACCAAGTCTAACACAATTGTCAAAATGAATATAGAAAGGACAAGTAGTATTTTATCGTTCGATTCCTATGCTGAAGTTAAGAGAAGCCTTCAGCATAAATGTAAAAGTGAAAACGTACATTATCGCAATATAGTTGTCAACTTCCATGAAATGGTTAACCAGACAATTTGAAAACAGCAACGCTGCCCTGTTTGATATTGCTTCTCATGTCTGGTGGGGTGCAAATTAGGGATGATAAAAGGGTCGAGTGGCCGTCGAAGGGGTTTACAGGAGCCGATGAGCTACGGCGGGATAAAAACATCATCATCCTTTGTACTGTTTTTATATGTTTACTAATATTTTTGATATAATTTAAAATTTTAAGATGTGAAATAAAATAAAATAATTAATCGCTAATGTGAATTTCAAAAGTTTCAGAACTAACTGGATGAAAATTAACAAAAGAAAGTTGACGTGCATAATATTGGCTGGTATTAAGAGTCTAAACTAGTTATCACATCTCATTTTCATTTTTCCTCCAAAAAAATTAAAGGAGCAGGCAAATTAAGCTAACAGAATTCCAAAGTCAATCACTATCGCATGGCAACACACTATAGGACGTAAAAAAATGTTTTGTCGCCAATTAAATCTTGCCAACAATAATTCTGTCAAGCTTGATGTACAAGTAACTTTATTGTTTCAAAATAGCACTACGAGTGGGAGTCTATTTCTTTAACTGACCCACTTATTTTATACAATTAAGCTACTTCCGGATTGGACGGCTGTGCAAACGAAGGATAAGTGATCGGTCGAATCATATTGAAAAGGTGAGCCTTAACTTTGTAGGAAATAAAGATGGCTATTACTTTATGATCGAGGACCTTAACAGATTTGGATTAGATTTTAAGGGAGAGAAAAACAAGGACTTTATTTTGGACTTGCTTTACTATGCAACGCCATCTAGTTGAAGTCGAAAGTTAAGACCATAAGGGCGCGTTTGGTTTGTGTTCCTGTTTTCAGTTTATTTTCAATTCCTTTGTTTCGAGGGATTATTTTAATATTGCAAAAAACGCGTTTGATTTGTCATTTTGTAAAACTGTTTTGCAAAACAAAAAATTAGAGAACAAGTTTGGTTTAAAAATTTTAGAAATAGTTTTTTATGATATTTTTTCAATTAATTTGATTATTTAGTAAAACATATCAATTTTATGCTAATATATTATCAAAAAAAAAAATTATAAAGCTGATAAAAAAAAAAAACGCCATTCTAAGATTGAGAGATGGCACTAGAGAGATGAATTCTCCACCAGGGTTCTTGGAGGAGTTTGGGACGAGAGAGATTGAGAGATGGATATTTTTATTTGATTATGTTTTATGTGATTTTATTAATTATTTTAATTTGTGAGATTTTTAAGCTAATTTTCCTAGTTTTGAGTTTTTTGATTGTTTTCATTGAAAACGCTTAAAATGTCAAAAGTTCATTTTGAGTTTTATGTTGTAAATTTTTTATTTTTCTTTTTTTTTGAAAATGCATTTTTGAAAATAATGTATCGATGTGAAAACACTTAAAATATCAAAAAGCTATTTTGAAACTTATGTTGTAAAATTTTCTTTGTTATTGAAAATAACATATTAAATATGTTTTGAGTGTTCTAGAAAATTAAAAATTGGAAATGGTTTCAAAACGGCAAACCAAATGGACTCAAAAGCATATCATATTTCTTCCTATGCAGGTTAACAAGTATATGTACTAATAAATTCTGTTTCCATTCGAAAGTCGTAGTGTAGTAGTGAGTATTCCTGCCTGTCACGTGGATGACCTGGGTTTGATCCCGGCAACGGAGTTTAATTTTTCAAGTTCTCTCATATTAACTTGAGGTAAGACGCAGTCGTTTTGCTTACATTTCCTTTCCATGACAATTTTGGGATCTGACACCTCAGCCACCGTCACTGGCGGATTGCGGAGGTCCATCCTGGTGGCGAAGCCAAGATAATGGTGCTGTTGAAACCGGCTACCACCTTCAAACAATTCTTACACACAGCATTGCTTATCTGATTTTAATTTTTATATCAATTCATTTGACATTGCCGTTGGATTTATGAGGGAGATTTGGTGCGACCTCTTTATTTGATAAAGTGGAAACGTTAGCTGACCTTACAAATAACTAAAAGTTAATTTTAATTT